ATCGGTGGGAAGGATCTTGGAACATCAGTGCAACATGGGGCTCCTGGAATTGGGGAGGGGTGGCAATTCTGACTTTTGTTGGGAACATTACTGAATTCTTATTGCATGAGATTCCCAATAAAATCCCCCCAGGAGTCTCCCAGTTAAAAGGTCTTGGTCTTCATTTACCCTGCCTGGCACCTGGGCCTTGATAGCTGCACAGTAGGAGATCTTAAAGGGCGGCATGACATTTAAGGAGGCAAGGTAGGTGGGAGCCACTGGCAGGGTGCCTGGCTCTCAGCAGACGCCCCCAAATGGTGGTGATGGTTACACTTCCAATGCACTTGGTGAATGCGTATATGCGTATATTAGCGAAGAGCTGGGTGGTTCTGACATCTCCACAACCCAGAGGCTCTGTGAATTGGCTTTCTAGTGCTGGCAAAACAAATGGGCTTATAATAACACCAATGTATTCTCTCAGAGTTCCTGTACATCAGAAGTCTGACACGGTCGTCACATCAGGCTGAAATCAAGGTGCCATCACGGCTGCCTTTCTTACTGGGGCTCTAAGAGAGAATTCACTTCCAAGCTCCTCCAGGCTGTAGGCAGAACCTAGTTCCTTGTGGTTGTAGGACTGAGGTGCCCATTTCCTGGCTGGTTGCTGGTGGGGGGCCAACCACAGGTCCTAGCGGCCTCTGTCCTTGTCCTCACATCTCGGAGGGAGGCAGCAATAGCACACAGAGTCTTCTCACCCTTGAATCTCCACGCCCTCCCCTCCTGCCTCCAGCCAGAGGAAGTGCCCTGCTTTCAGGGACCATGTGACCACCATGGGCTCCAACTCGAGGATCCAGAAGCCTTCCTGGACCAAGCCCTCTGGCCTTAATCGCACCTGCAAAGTCCACCTTGCCAGGTAACACCCTCTTCCTGGGGTCCGGGTATCAGGGCCGGGACACCTTTGCAGGGTCACTGTTCAGTCCCGCACTCTCTGCAGTGGCTTCTGTCCCACTGGGGGAACTCCAGCTCAGGGAGACTGATCTGGGAGAACAGAGCTGACCTTTCTTTCAAAAAGCGTTCGCTGAGCACTCGCCGTGTGCTGGGGGCTCTCCAAGTACTTGGAGTGTAAACTAGAAATGCTGACCTCGCTGTCAGGAGAGAGGGGAGGAGGAGACACCGGCTATGGAACCTACCATGTGTCAGGGGCACTTCATGCATTTGCTCTCATGTCCAAGGGCAACCCATTGTGCAGATGAGCAAACAGGCTGCATAACATGCCCAAGGTCACCCAACTTACACTCCTTAGTCAAGACTCGCCCCTTCTTTCCTCTCTGGTCTGGGTCACTCAGGATACCCCCAGTCCATGGAGGGCAACACCACACCTTCTGGGACCACGTCCTGGACCCTCCCCTTCAGGGGTCGCTTCCCTCTTCCTCCAGAAGGGGAGGCTGTCTGCGTCTGTGACCTTCCGGAGGGACTTGGGGTTTCCTGAGGCAGCTGGAGAGGGTAGCTGAGTGGCCTGCGGTCCCTGGTCTGGTTGCCCCGAGTTCTCTGCAGAACCCGGGGGAGACTGTGGCGACGAGTGGGCCGGCCCCGAAGGTCTCCTCCGGGGGAATTTACATGTCGCTGGCTGCCCAGGTGTCTCTCCTTCCTCTTTTCGATGACCCGGTGACCTCACAGACCTTCCCTCAAAGTGATGAGCTGCGGGCTTCAGACCACAGCCTAACGGAGAACTGGGAACAAGGGAGGTGCTGACAGGCTGCTGAGCAAAGTGAGCAGGGCCGTGGCAAAAGCGCAGACAAATCCAAATAGAAACGCACCCGTCCTAAGGGACGGTCCCTCCAGTTACAGGGAGCGAATAGCGTTCTCAGCAATGACACTTGCCTCTGGAGGGGGCTGTGTCCCCGATGCTCTCATGGAGGAGGGAAGTATATTTGTTTATTTACTCCTCACAGCCCTCGGCAGCGTAGGGGGCTCAGAGCCGGAAGGAACGCCAGCCGGCCAGGTGCAGAGTCCGGGGTCAAAGGCAGATGCGCCCTCCACCGACTCTCAGCCAAGCTCCTCCCACCGGGGCCCCCGGAGCCACAGTGCCCGCGAGCCCGGGACCTCCCGTGTCCCTACGACACTCGTGCAGGTGGCTTTCTTCCCTGTCCCACAGGTAAACACGCGGGGCTTCCGCAAGGCCCAAGGGCCTGGCGAAGGCCACGGTCAGGAACACATGCCCGTCCGTGAGAAGGTGGGAACGGGAAATAGGAGGGATCAAAGGCCAGGCCGCGTGGTCTCTGCCCTGGACCAGCTCTCAGGAAAGTATGGCCCAAGAGACAACACCCAGGACGTCTGAGCTGGAGGAGGCTGGGCCCGCATCGCCATGATGAGGCTGAGAACACAGAGAAGTGCACACGGGGGTCCCCCGCCAGCCCCTGTCACGGGGCTGCGGTCAGAACCCCGGCCACGTCCCCTCGCTGGTGTTCCCTCCTGCATCCTGAGATGCCCTGAAGGCCTATCCCTGTCCAATGGGACGGGCTGACTCGATGTGTGGGGACAGCCGGGAAGACTCATACACTCTCCTCCCCTCCGCCCCCTCCGCCACGGGCAGGAAGGCCACGTTCACCCAGCAGCAGGGCAAGGGCCGCCGAACAGTCGGGAGGTGAAAGGGCAGCACATGGTCAGCGTGGCCTCGGCATCAGTGGGGCAGAGACCGAGGCGTTGAGTGAAGATCTTCACGCTGAGCCGCCACTGGTCTGAGTCACTTCCTCCTGAGCTGGAAGCCACTGGGGGCAGGAGGCGGCGGCAGTAACATAAGCTGCAAGGTCCTGCTCCTGCCGGGTTCCCGAACACACAGCAGGGTGACCGGGGCTCAGGGGCGCCTCGGTCCCCACTGGTCCTGCATTAAGAGGGCAGCGCCCCCCCAGCCCCCCCAGGCCATCAGGCAGCGGTCCCCAGGCAGGTCTGCATGGGTGAAAGTCACCGGAGAAGCTTGTGGGAAACACGGATTTCTGTTCCCCAGATTTTGAGAATAAATGGTGTAAGGTAGGGCGCCCAAATCTATATTTTCAAAGGAACAAGACCTGTCCTTAAGGAATGGCCCCCTGGGGTACCTTGCCTGCCATCATCCCTTCTGCAGAAGCCACTTCCTCCAACCGTCTGCTTCTTCGCTCGGCGGCCTGTGCCTGCATGTCTGAGTCTTGCCTCTGTGTGACTGAGCAACTCTACACCTTGATTTCCGGTTCACCCGGTCCCACAGCCTCTCCGCACACCCCAAGGCTGGGCAAGGGCATCGTTCTTGTTTCTTCTGTGGGTTACTGTCAACGTCCTAAAGACGGTATTTTTCTTATCCCATCCTCCCCCTAAGCTTGCTGCTTAAACAGCGAGTGTGTGTGCACCCCTTACACCCCTCTTCTTCCCTTCTTTTCTTTGCACGTCCATGCTCTCAGATCTCCTTGGTGCTGCAACCTCACCTACGCCCTCCGTGGGCACTCCGTGGGGTGACCCCAATACCTGCACACCAGTTAACTCGTTCCCCGCATCAGACCTTGTGCACGTCGCTCCCAGGCCGGCTCCATGGGGTGACCCCAACACCTGCACACCAGTTAACTCCCCGCATCAGACCTTGTGCACGTCGCTCCCAGGCCGAGCAGGCACTGGGATTCCGCCCCGTACGCTCCTGGTCCGTGAGACAACCCCGGGTCTTCAGATCAAACAGAGTCTCTCTTATTACAGCTCATTGGTTGCTTAAAACCGTGATCTATTTCAGATTATAATATTATAGTGGGGCTTCCTGTTTCATCTAGCGTTTAGAGTGGCCTTCTCCTCCTCCTTATCTCTCTCTCTTTCTCTCTCTCACTCTCCTGCTCTTCTCCCTCCCTCCCTCTCTCCCTCCCTTTCTTCCTCCTTCTATTCTTCTCCTCTCTCTTTCCCTCTTTTTCCTTTGGACTCTGTGCTTATAACTTCAGGAAATGTATATATTTCTATCTCACCCTAGTGAGTCTCACCACCTTAAAGGAAGCAAAATATATGCTTTTTCAAGTGAGATGGGACGGGAGCAGGACTTCTGACTCAGCAGCTGCCCGTCTGAATGACCCGAGCAACCCCCTGCGCCCCGCCCCCACCCCCGGCATCCGGGCGGCAGAGGTTTCAGGAGCCAGAAGAGAAAGTAGGCTCCCGACCCCCCATGAGTAGATGCCACCTGTCGGTCTGACTGCGAAGCTGGGCCACCATGGAAGAGCTGGGAGGGATGTTCCGGGTGGAAAAGGAGCAAACAGGCTGTCTAAGGAGAAGCCACCTCCCCGCCCTCAGCAGACAGAAGAGCAGGAGCCCAGGGGGCATCGGGGTGACCGCAGACACCAGTCCACGCATCCGCACCCACGTGGCCCAGAGAAGGACAACCCGGCCTGGACCTGCCAGCGCGGCCTCGGGCGCCGTTCCTCCCTGTGCTCCTGACTGTGGCCTTCGCCAGGCCCTTGGGCCTTGCTGAAGCCCCGTGTGTTTACCTGTGGGACAGGGAAGAAAACCACCTGCATGAGTGTTGTAGGGACACGGGAGGTCCCGGGCTCGCAGGCACTGCGGCCCCGGGGGCCCGGGTGGGAGGAGCTTGGCTGTGAGTCAGTGGAGGGCGCATCTGTTTTTGACCCCAGACTCTGCACCTGGCCAGCTGGCGTTCCTTCTGGCTCTGAGCCTCCTACCAGCCTCGCTGGCCTCCTACCTCCTTCCTAGCACCTTCAGGAGAGAATCCTTTCTAACACGTAGGTAGGACTCTGGGGCCTGCCCTCCATGGGTCCCCAGATCCCGTGTCACTTCTGTTCGCCTGCCCCCCTCTCCCGCGAGAGGGCAGGGCTCTCGCCTCCCCAGCCCCCAGCACAGAGCCTGGCACACAGAGGATGCTGCGCAACCATTTGACGGGAGGAAACAGCAGCCTGGGATTCAGAACTGAGTCGGACTCCGAAGGTGAGAAGATGAATCCACAGCTCGGCATCTCCCAAGGGCAGCCCTGAAGGAACACATCAGAGTCACCGCTGTTTCACTGCATGTTGACACTTTATTGAAAGCCAGGGGCGATTCCAGAGAACAAGGAGCCCAGGTGGCAGCCTGGGGGTGGGGGGAGGGAAAGGGCAAGTTGAGGGGGCGGTGGCAGGGTGGGTGGAAGTCTTGGGATTGGTTACTTGCTGTAGCTCTTGGAGCCTGGATCTGGGAGGTCTTCTCTCAGGCCAGAGCCTGCCGGCTGCTCCTCCTCTTCACTCCCTGCTGACAGCCCATCCTTGGCTTCATCTGAAACATGAGGGCAAGGCTGGTGCGATCCTGACCCGACTTCTCCTCTCTCCCTCACTCTTTTTGACCGGAAGAGACCCTGGCTCTGAAGGGCATTTCTTCCCCAGGAATGCCCTGCAGGGGGCACTTTCAGATCGCCTGGCAGGAGGGACATGCGATGGGCAGGACAGGACTCGGGGTCATCGCCAGAGAGCCTCTGGGTCTTAGAAGGTAAAAGTGAGATTGAGAGTCTAGAACATGTCAGACGAGGTCACTTCCCTGCTGAACTCTCCACTCTCATTGGTCTCCCCATGAAGACCTCCCGACATTCTGCAAAGCTCAGCCCAGCACAACCTGCCCTGGGAGGCCCCCCACCCCTGGCTTCCTGCAGCTCCCAGCATGCACCAGGAAGCTGAAGGACTTCCCCTGGGTCACGTCACTCCCAGAAGCTTTTTAGGGCATCGCATTTATCTCGATATTCCTAGCGCCCTTATGACGGATCCTTTTATCGTCTCCGTAACATCTCTTCAACAGGAAGTTCTCTTCAACAGGAAGTTCTCTTCAACAGGAAATTCTCTTCAACAGGAAGTCCATTGCAACAGAAAGAGGAAGAATGCCCGCCTCTCCCCTGGCCAGAACTCACTCTCCAAGACGTTTGACCAGTCTTCCAAGGGCAGCGAGGCTGAGGGTCCAGGTCCTACCTCCTCTCCCCGTTCAACTGTCCCACAGCCCTCCCAGCCCCCCCCCCCACCCCAGTGTTCTCTCTCTCACTTCCCTCTCCTGCCCCCATGGAACAGGAGGCCCTTGGCAGAGAGGAACCCCCCTCCCCAACCTGTGAGCTCTCAGAGGAGAGAGAGGTGCTAATGGCCTCCCAGTGCCCGTTGGCTCCCAGAGGCTCAGACAGGCCTAACGCACAATGTGCGCACAGTAGGTGCTGTGTATCCACCCCCGCCCGCCCTCCCCCTGGCCCTCCGGCTCCAGGCTCCCTACCTGCAGGCGCCTTCAGGGACCGGATGTACTTGGACCAGAAGGAGCAGTCGGCCTTTTTCAGGCCCCGTCGATTGGGGAGCTGGGCGCTGAACTCCTTGTAGTTCTCCCCGTTGGTGCCAGGGACGAAGTCGGGCCAGGGGACTGCGAATTCAGGCCCTTTCCGTGAGAACTCGTGCGGGTAGTTGGGATTCCTGGGGAAGAAGAAGCAGGACACACGCATGAGGGAGACTCGTCTTTCCTTTCATCCCTTGGATCACTTCCGCTCACACCTGGTCTCTGAGGACCCACCCACCCACTCATCCTTAGGCGTCCGAGTGGCCTTAACGGCTGCACCCCAAATGCTTACAGGTGGGAAGGCCCGACTCCACCCAGGCCATTTCTAGGGGAGGGAGATGTGAGCTCAGGACCCAGCAACAGCAGCACAGCCCTTCTGGGGGTCTGGACGCTCAGGAGGCCGCGTGCCCCTCTCTGTGCTGGTGTCCTTTTATCGGGACCCCATCGCTAGTCTCTGGGATGCCTTTGTGGGTCCATGGCCTGGTGGGAGGGGGCCTAGAGCCAGCACACTGGTCTGCCACCTGCAGGTTCATCACGCGGCCCCCGGGTTTGGAGGGGCGGGGTGCGCAGCGACCGCCCCCAGCCCACTCACCCGGATCGGATACAGTCGATGAAGTACTGCATGACTTTCAGCGCTGTGCGCTTCTCCTCCGGAGTGAACTGCCCCCCGTAGGCAGGGTGGAAGGGCAGCCCGAAGGCATACTGGGCGTCGTCCAGCAGTTCCAGGCTGAGGGAGCACGGGGAGGCGGAGAAGCAGGAGTTAAAGGAATAGTGCACCACTGGAGAAATCCAAGGAGCCCCAACCAGAATCCCTCCCCCATGAAGACAGTGCTCTTGTTATGTTGAGGCTGCCTACGCGGTGCTGGGTACCGCTGATGGACCTTCTGTCCATGGCCCCCTGGGACAGATCTGTGGCACAGCCATTGGCTACGACCTGAAGGCCATTCTTAGTGCCCAGCGCCCACCATCCACGGTCCCTTTCCTCTGTCCTCAAAGCCAGCAACAGTGAGTCACATCCTCCACACGCCCCTCTGTCCGGCTTTTCCCTCTGCCCCCCCTTCTCCTCTAAAGGACCTGTGTCATTGGGTTGGGCACCTGGATTGTGGGAAACACACAGCCATGCAGCCTGAGGGACGCTGTGTGCTCAGTTTCTGGATGTGAATACAGTTCAGAGGACGGTGGCAAACAGGAGGTCAGGACAAGCCGGTCCGCCAGCCACCCTTGCTGACTGCTTTCTGGGCCGCACCCCGAATGGGTGCTGGGGTAAGAGAGGGAGAAGTCGGCCATGCTGGCATGGGGCTCGCGGTCCAACAGGAAATGCAAAGATGTCAACACAAAAATAAAATGCTTGAACTAATGATAGACAGACAGACAGACAGATGTCGAAGGATAGAAATGTTTACAAAGTGCCGACGGTGGAGGAGAAAGTGGTGCCGCTTGTTCTGGGCGAGGACATGGAGGGCAGCTTGTGCCACGCCAGAGAGGAAACCACGTTGACGTGGGCCTTGGGAGAGGACAGGGTGAGCCCGAGGGGGAGGGGAGGGGTGTTTGGGGCCAAGACTCAGCGCGTGTGATGGCGTGGAGTGTGCTTTCTGTGGAGGAGGGGACAGGGGGTGAGACTGGGTGGGGGTGTGGCAGCTGCGATGACGGGGAACCACGTCCCCGACCCTCTGGGCCTCGTGAATTGTACTGAGAAGTGCTTCACGCTACTGAGTGAGGCTGGGATTTTCCTGGTCCAGGGCAACCCAAAGCGTCAGAACCACAGGGCTACTTGCTGGCTCCGGGCCTGCAGTTCTTCAGGCCCTGGCTCTGTGGAAGGTGTGAGAACCGAGGCCAGAGGCGCCGAGAGCCATGTCTAAAAGGGGAGGGGACGCCGGCCGTTTCTAAGCGGCCATTGCAAGCTGCCTTTCCGTGAGGACCGCCCTGGGCAGTGGCTGCGTGAAGGTCTGACGTGGCAGGTCCCAGGGCCGCTGAGCTGTCCAGCAGAGAGAGACAGGGGCTGGCTTTTCACGTGACATCCCCACCTCACCTCTCGGCCATCCCACCACCCTAGATCGCGCTGGCGGGGGCTTGTGGGGAGGCCCAGCCCCCACTCCAGCAAGTCCAGGGCCACGGCCACACTTCAGAGCCGACACAGTCCGTCAGCAGCTCCAGTCCCTTCGCTTCCCGCACGAGGGACCCTCCTTCATGGACATGGGGCTCATTAGGCAGCACAGTGATGAGACAGCGTCACAGGAGGAAGGCCCCTGACCTTGGCCGACAAGGACCTGAGCTGGGACGGGGGCTGAGCCAGGCCCCGGCTGTGAGGAGAGAGAGTGGGTGGGATCTTCCTTGCATCCGGGAGGTGGCTCCTGTAAGGATGATGGGTTCAAGAGGTTCATGCTGCGGAGGCCCTGAGCTCGGCCCATCTGGTTGGACTGACATGAGAGCCTGTTGCTCGGAGATTTCTTTCCCTGTTGTTCTGTCCGTGGGAGGAAGTTCGTTGACCTCATCCCCATAAACTATGCTCCCCCTTATCTCTCGCTGGCATCGCTGGATGGCTTCCTCTGGAGGGAACTGGGGCAGCAGGAGGAACAAAAACCCGCCGCTTCCCACGCGGTCATTTCAAGGGCTGAGGCTTTGCCAGGTCGCTTGCACACAGAGGCTGCGAGTGTGCCTCTCTGGACGCATGTAACTCACACAAGTTCACATTCTGCCCACGGAAGGATGGACAACGGCTTCTGTTCCACAAAAGGATTCATCACCCAATTCTTTAAACAGTGAGCTCCCAGCCCCAGCCAGTTTGGCTCAGTGGATAGAGCGTCAGTCCTCAGACCGAAGGGTCCTGGGTTCGAGTCCGCTCAAGGGCATGTATCTTGGAGGTTCAATCTGAGGCCCTGGTCAGGGCACGTGCGGGAGGCAACCAATCTGTGTGTCTCTCTCACATCGATGTTTCTCTCTCTGTGTCTCTCCCCCTCCCTTCCACTCTCTAAAAATCAATGGAAAAAATATCCTTGGGTGAGGATTAACAAAAAAAAATTTTTTTAAATGAACACCCAATTCACTTAAAATAACACAATGCCACCCCCGGCGCCAAGGGACACACGCGCAGCACTCCCATAGCTCCCTGCGGCCCAGCACAGCTGGTGGCTGACGTCTGGCTGCGCCGTGGACACTCCCGGTGGACTCGCTGGGCCCACTGCGCCTTTCAGTCCCGGCACAAAGCTCAGCAGCTGCTGCTCAGAGGGGCCGGGCTCTCCTGGCCCGAATCACCGACTCGCCCCAGGGAGTTCCGTGTGTACCCAGAGCCCCGTGCTTGCCCTGACCTGCTTATGCCCGTTGTGTGTTGTGGGAATCACAGAGCTCAGTCCCGTAGCCGGCGGAGGCCCCACTTCCAAGAAAGCCCAGCGGTCAGAGGGGCTGGGCTCTCCTGGCCCGAATCACCGACTCGTCCCAGGGAGCTCCGTGTGTACCCAGAGCCCCATGCTTGCCTCTGACCTGCTTATGCCCATTGTGTGTTGTGGTCATCACAGAGGTCAGTCCCGTAGCCCCGTGGTCGGCAAACCTCAGCTCGTGAGCCACATGCGGCTCTTTGGCCTTAGAGCCAGCCCTGGGTTTACGGCTTCGTGAGCACTTCAAAGGGAGGGCTCCACGCAGCATAGCCGCCCGGCCTTTCACCCTGCGCTGAAACCATGCCGACGGATGCGTGTACAGGCGTAGAATTAAAATGAAATGGGGGCGGCATAGACCTATCTCACCCACAGACCAGGAGTCCCCATTTTAATTGGATTTTCCAATTAACTAACTGATCATTGCAGGGGAAAACCGGGTTTCTAGTCTGTGTTCTATTTTTTTTAAGTTGGCTTTTAGAGAGCTGTGTTTCGAATGTGAAAGAAAAGACCAGTGGGCATTCTGAAAACCGTAGAGCAAGCCCTGGGTTTTCGGCTTTGTGAGCAGTTCAAAGGGAGGGCTCCACGCAGCATCGCCGCCCGGCCTTTGACCCTGCGCTGAAACCATGCTGACGGACACGTGTACAGGCATAGAATTAAAATGAAATGGGGGCGGCATAGACCTATCTCACCCACAGAACAGGAGTCCCCATTTTAATTGGATTTTCCAATTGCAGGGGAAAACTGGGTTTCTAGTCTATGTTCTATTTTTTTTTTTATAGTTGGCTTTTAGAGAGCTGTGTTTTGAATGTGAAAGAAAAGACCAGTGGGCATTCTGAAAACCATGTCTTCTTAAAAAACCTCCAATGCCTTCCCACCCATATTCAGATGAAATACTACCTTTTGGCCTGCCACTGTTTACCAACTCCTATGTGAACTGCAAAACCCTGTCTTTTTCCCCGCTGAATCTCCAACCACTTTCCTTCTCTTCAATACACCCAGCTCCTGGCCTCCTTCGTCATCCTCAAACATGCCACGCCTTTTCCCTTTCCCCTTCCCAGGGCAGTTATCCAAATTTACACTGCTTTTTTCTGTGTGTGTGTGTGTGTGTGTGTTGTCTGTTCTTTGCACCCTGTCCCTGGACACTCATCAACCCCACCCCCTGACTACAGTGCTAGTTCCAAGAGGCTTCCGGACTGCTCCATTGCTAGGATCTAGAAGAGGGCCTGGGGCATAGAACACAGAAGGTAACTATTCGACGAAACAGGATTGAAGAGAATGCACACCACAAGCTGTTCTACGGCACGAAACCCGAGTGGTCAGTTTCAGAAAGCGACTCCCTTCCATCTTCACTGGGAAGTAATCTCATTAATCACAGGACGGAGCCAGAGCAGTGGCCCCAAGTCAAGAATCCAGCTACTAATCCAGCCACCAATTCCAACGAACTCGCCAAGACAGTCAACTAGAAAGATAATATTTGGAATGTGAAATGTTAAAGCCCCCGGAATGCACAGAGCTGTCTAGAAGGTGGTGTACAGAATGTCTTCAGTCTAGAATTTACGGCTTTGTTTTCCAGGGTTGAGACAATTTATAAAGATGGAACATTGCTGTGTCTTTAGTCATTTTAATTTTTTTTTCTCTTCTTCTCAGAACCTTATTTTTCCTAAAGAGAAAATAACCAATAAAGAACAGCTACGATGTGCCAGGTGTTTAATGCCCATTGACTTGAACCTTCCCACTGGGAAGCAGGTGTGACTGTACCCATTTCATGGGTAAGGAAGTTGAGGTACAGGAACCTGCTCAAATGAAGAGAACTCCTCAGCGGAAAAGATGGAATTGACCTCAAAAAAAGGTGTTCTTCCACTGTATTGAGCCACTTCTCCCAAACTGAAAGAGTGGTCCCCCATCCTGTATGGAGCCTGGGTAGATTTTTAATCCCAAGAGCCCTACCCATTCAAAAGAGTCAGGTCCTTCCTCACAGAGTTTGTCCCTCAATTTCAGGGACAAAAATCCCATCTATAACACAGGTGAGCCGTCCCCGAGCCACGCTGGTCTGTGAGGCATTAACGGAGGTCAGGGAGAAGAAGGTGGGGGTTTACTGGGCTTTGTTCAGTGGCGATGCCAGGAGAGCTAATGTACACTCACGGAACAGAGGCACGAGACAGATGGCCGAACACGTAAGGCGCACACATCTATTTTAAGTCTGTAGGTCCGAGCCAGGAACAAATGAGAGGGCCGACGGCTCCAGGGCAGCGCGAGAGAAACGTGCCAGCAAATCAGTTTCTGTGATTCATTCATTGATTCAGCGTCTACTACAGAGATGGCAGCCACCAGACGGTGGTGGGGTGAGAAGACGCAGGCGCGAGCGCTGCCAGGGACGCGCCCTGATGGACAAGAATTAACGGGACACGTAACACAGTTCACGGGGCCCGTCGGCTACACACATTCATCACCACGGGAACCCTCTGAAGCCGGTGCTCCCACGCCTACCCCCATTTTTCAGATGAAGAAACTGAGTCACCGAGGAGGTTGGGTGACTTGCCTAGGTCACTGAACTAATAAGACTCAGAGCGGGTTTCTAGCCACGGTGATCGGCCCAGAGGCGCTGCTCTAATCAGGACACTTTGCGCCTCTGTCCACGACCACCATCTCTGCCTCTTGCCCCCCAAAATGATAGGAGGTGAGAGGTGGACCGCACCTTAAAGGTGACCAAGCGCACTGCCTTTTACGCCTCTCTAAACGGCATGACCTTGACGTTTCCTCCAGGCTCAGTGTGAGACAGCGAGCCAGGGGCCGGGAGCTCGGGCCCTCCACCTCGCTCTCCTCCTCCTGGGCCCTGGGTGCAGGGTCCCGCAGAGCCCAGTGAAGGGTCACTGCGCGTGGCCTCTCCCACCCTCCACTCCCATTTTGCAGATGGCAACACTGAGCCCCAAGGAGCCTTTGAACTAGAATAGAACGGACTCGCACCCCACCTGTCAAATGAGGTGGTTGCCTCACCTGCTGTTTTCAAAGCCATAGACATGTGGATGAAGGCCTCCTATCCATCAACAGCTAACACTGCAATTCCAAGGCACTTCCTGTATCTTTTCTTTGACTTTCCCTTCCTGCAGTTCAGTGAACTAAAGGGGCTGCTGCTCTTATACCCATATTTCAGATGATGAAACTGAGGCTCACAGAGGTGAAGGGATGAGTCCCCCGTCATTGAGTCAGGACTTGTCCCTCAGTCCCGCCCTCTTTTCTCTGCCGTCAGACCCCCTCCATTTGCCAACACCCGCTGTGGCCACGCAGCCCCCTTACCTGCCGTGGCCGTAGCTCTGGGGAGCGTGGTACAGGAACACGTTTCCGCGGGCCCTCCTCGCCCAGTGGCGGGCCATGTCGATCACGGGGCAGGTGATGAAGTAGTCCCTGGAGAAAGGAGGACAGAGGAGGGCCTGTGACAACTGTGCCGGGCCCAGGCTTCTCCCAGGCACCGTCCCTCGGCCACCAAGCCCCTCGCACAGGCCTGCGGAGAGCACATGGGCAGTCTGCTTTACGGCCGCTGTGATCACACGCTGGTGTCCACGGGAAGCATCTTAGGATCAGGAGGCTTGTGGACAAACATCTTCTCAGAGCATCAGTATCACTTACCGATTTGGGAGCAAAACATTTTATGATAAAACAAATACATACAGCAGCCGATGGAGCAGAACAGAAAAGCACTGCGCGTTTTAAAAGACAGAGCTCAGCCCTAGCAAGTTTGGCTCGGTGGATAGAGCGTCGGCCTTCGGACTGAAGGGTCCTGGGTTCAATTCCGGTCAAGGGCATGTACCTTGGTTGTGGGCACATCCCCAGTAGAGGGTGTGCAGGAGGCAGCTGATCGATGCTTCTCTCTCATTGATGTTTCTAACTCTATCCCTCTTCTTTCCTCTCTGTAAAAAATCAATAAAATATATTTTAAAAAAATAAATAAAAGACAGAGCTCAGGGTGCTTCGTGCCCAGGATTCCTGGGATCCAAGGCTCTCGCCGTGATATCCCCCCACCCCCGGGGACATTTGGCAGCGTTTGGGGACTTTTTTGGTGCTCACAGCTGGAGGTGGAAAGGTTTCTACTGGCATCTAGTAGGTCAAGGCCAGGAATGCTGCTAAAATAAACATCCTCCGATACAGAGGACAGCTCTCCCCAGAAAGAACGTTCTAGTCCAGTGGTTCTCAACCTGTGGGTCGCGACCCCTTTGGCGGTTGAACGACCCTTTCACAGGGGTCGCCTAAGACCATCCTGCATATCAGATATTTACATGGACGATTCATAACAGTAGCAACATTACAGTTATGAAGTAGCAACAAAAATAATGTTATGGTTGGGTCACAACATGAGGAACTGTATTAAAGGGCCAGAAGGTTGAGAACCACTGTTCTAGTCCAAATGTCAGCGGCGAGGAGGTGGACATGGTTCACACCGGCTCCCCTTTGGGGTGACGGGAATGCATTTCAGAAGCCCGCGCTGGCCACAGCGGGCCCTGCGTGGGGCAGTGCAGGGCTGGGAGCTGGGGAGGGGCTGGCCTGGCTAGAACCTGGCCGCCACAGCAGCTGGGTTTGAATCCCTCCAGGGTTTGAATCCCACTCAGCCCTCCCTGCATGTCTGACTCTCCATCGCCTCAGCTGAGAAATGGGCCCAGGGGCCCACCCTGCAGAGATGCTGTAACAACAGTCTGACACCCATGAGAGTCCCTCGGTGAGGAGGTAACCTCCCCCGCAGCCGGTGTCTGGGCAGCTCCGGTGTTTTCAGGGACGGCTCTGAGGGAGGGGCCTGGGGTGAGGTTCTGGAAGGGCAGGTGAAGGCCGTGTGCTTCATCCCACAGTCCCCCTGGAAGAGTGGTGGGCGGGACAGAGATGAGAGTCGCGCTGTGGGGAGGCACTGCCAATGAGACCGGAGGCAGGGAGGCCCACGGAGGCCAGTGCCTGAGTCTGGCTGGGAGAGAAGGAAGGTACGAACTAAGGGAAGACTGGAGTCCTCTTTGCTGAGCTGGACCGGACTCTCCATCAGCATTTCACTCGCCCCTGGCGGGCAGGCACCCCGGCTGGGGACTGACCGGATGACGCGAAGGACAGTGCAGCACCGGGTCCCGAACCTCAGTCTCTCTCATGCCCTGGGCATCCCCTGGCGCCAGGGGCCGCGGCGGCAGGAACCGTGTGCTTGGTCTTACCGGGTGGCGTTCTCCAGGGCCCGGGAGAAGGAGGCGTAGTCGTCGGCAGAGTGCTCCAGGGAGTAGTACCACGTGGCGGCGGCCAGCACGCCGGGGTCCGCGTCCTCGCCACCCAGCGAGTTCTGCAGCGCCCGGTAGAAGGCTGTTTTGCTACTGGTCCGGCCTTGACTTTCCTCAAATTGCTGAGAGAGAGAGAGAGAGAGAGAGAGAGAGGAGAGAGAGAGAGAGAGAGAGGAAAATTCCCCAGTCAGATTCTGCAGGTATTGCTCAGAACCTTCTCTAGAATTCTCTCTGGGAAGCAGGGGGACGTGGCGTCCAGCCCACGGGTGCTGGCTCAGACCTCTGGGTGTGGATCCCAGCTCCGCTCCTTCCAGCTGTGTGATCGCGAGCAACGGGCTGCCCTCCGTGCCTCCTCCCGCACCCGCGATGGGCAGGTGGGGGCCCTCGCGCAGGGGGGTGTGAGGACCACAGGTCAGTGCCGTGGGGCCATCGCTCGGAGCCTGGCCCGCAGGGAGTGAGACTCCATCGCGAGCTGACACAGTCGCACCCCGTGCCTCTCCCTCCCGGGACTGCCCGTGTCGCCTGGGGCCGTGGGAGAGCTAACGCCGGGCTCACCCACGGCCTCAGTCAGGCGGCAGGACGGCTGCCTGTGCTTACACAGGGACACGGCGGCCCGGCCTCGGAAAACAGGCTCCCCGTGCCCGTGGGCCCCGTGTTCCAGTGGGTGGAGACGGAAAATAAGCAAATAACTGTGCAGCTCAGCAGGGGACAGGCGCAGTGATGAGAAACTGCAGCGTGAGAGCCACAGGGCAGGGCCATTTTACATAGGACGGTCGGGGGAGACAGGTGGCTCTCGGGGGACATGTGTTCCCATGGAAATACCCTTCCTCTCTTCCCTTCCTCCCCCTCCCTCCTTGCCCCCTCTCCATCTCCTTTTGCCCCCCCTCTTTCTTTCTGCCTCCCTTTCTCATCCCCACGTCCCTCCCCCCGGTCTGCGCTGGGGGAGCTTGGGGAGGACCATCCCCCCGCCCCGACCCCGCCCTGCCCAGGACTCAGTGCCCTCATTTCTGAAGAGGAAGCGGCAGAACGTCAGGGCACAGCTGTGAGTGTGCGGCCCAGGCCCCTTGGCCCCGTCTGGTCCTGGGATGTGTGTTTACATATTTCCAGGCTTCTGTGTCAACAGTGGAATGCCCTTATCAGGACACGCTGGCATGTGTCAGCTGTGTCTGTGGACATCTCCAAGCAGGCCGGGCTGCGGTTAGAACGGGAGGAGGGGATGTGATCAGGCTGCAAGCCCCCGGCCCACACTCTCAGCGCATCCTGGTGAGCTGCGGAGCATTCACTGCTCCTCCAACAAATGTCTACGGAGTGCGGACGGGTGGCGGGGCATTTGGGACACAGCGGCGGACAGGACGGGCTAAGTTCTCTGCTCTTTGGGGGCTTCCAGTGGAGCTGGGGATGGACCACGCCCAGCACATCTTTGCAGCAGAGAATGTTCGGCGGCGAGAAGGACTCACTAGCCCGTCAGGTGTGGATGGTGCGGGAGGGGATGGCTGGGCGCTGGAGTGGCTTCGGGAGAGGCCAGGAGAAGGGTCCTCCGTGGTTTGCAGCTGCCAGGACAGTGCCCCCGAGCACCGGTGGGCGTCTGCGTCCGGGAGGGGATGGCGCAGTGGAGAGAGCGTGGCCCTGGAAGCGCAGGGCCCACCTCCTCGCTCTCGCTGGCCCCGCAGCCCCCTCTGCTCAGCGTCCCTGCCCGTCACTCAGTGGAAATGGCCCTCAGCCAGGCCACGCAGGACCGCACCGTCAGGTCCAGCAGCCGATCCTGTCCTCGTCACCCTCCGCTCTCAGTGACATCCGGCGCTTGACCGCGGCTTCCTTTCGGAAGCTTTTCTCCTTGGCTTTGGTGACATCGAATTTTCCTGGCTTCCCTCCAGACCTGTGCCCACAGGCGTCCTCTCCTGAACTCCCAACCCATATGCCCAACGGCCAAGCCAACGCACGCCCCAAATCTGGGTTATTTCTCACCGATACCTGGTCTCTCACCCCTATTTAACATATGCGCTCGCTCCCGGGACCTCACGGCGATGTAATCTGGCATCTATTTCCTTTGTCACTCCTCCAGCGTCAGTTTTCCACAGAGCTGCCAGAATGCTCTTATTTAAAAAGATAAATCAATATAATCACTTCCTGGCTTACAACATTCCAGCATCGGCCCACTGCAAGTAGAATAAAATCAGTTTTCTGATGGCCGATGATACGCACCTAACATGTCCCTCAGACACGTCCGACTTCCTCTCCCACCACTGCCTTCATTGTCCTGGGTTTCTAACCCTGGACCTCCTCTGTCCCCCAGACAATCCCTGCCCCAGGGCCTTTGCACTGGCTCTTCACATAGCTGGCCCCATAGCTGCCCCTCCTCATCATGCAGGCCTCAGAGCACAGTCACCGCCCTGGCTTCCCTGACAAAGGACTTTCCTCCCTTGCATCACTTCCTCTCCCGTGACTGGTTCATTTTCTTCAGAGCACTCTTCCGAGACCTGAAACCCTCCGCGTATTTGCTTACACGGCACTGTTCTCTCCCTGGGACACCAATTCCACAAGTCAGGAGCTTTATCTGCTGGGTGACGACCTTCCCCCAGAGCCCCTGCATGAATGTACGCGGGATGCTTGCACGAATTAATGTGTGGCTGACTCCTGTCCCTACTACTTGCTGTGGGTGTTGAGGGACAGGCCCCCTTCTCCATTAGGCACAGTGGGTCTGTGCCTGGGGCCCCCCCACAACTTTAGGGGCCCATGAAAATATTTTTTTCCTTTCCATTTCTTTTAAAATCAGAACTAAATGAATGAATAAGGACTAGAATAAAGAATCCAGCCTGTGTTTTCCATAAAAAAGAAGGATCTCTTACCCTTTGGGGCAGCATGGAGGGACCTGGAGAGTATGATGCTAAGCAAAATAAGCCAGAGAAAGACAAGTGTCACAGGGTCTCACTCAGATGTGGAATCTAATGAACAAAATAAACTGATGAACAAAATAGATCCAGAGACATAGAAGCAGGGAACAGACTGGGATCTCAGAGGGAAGGCGGGGGTGGGGGTGTGAGTGGAGCGTGATTGACTGGGGAACTTATATGCATATACACATAAGCCATGGACAAAGACAACAGGGCAGTGAAGGCCTGGGGAGGGGCTGGTGTGGGGAGGAGGGGGTCAATGAGGGGAAAAAACACCAAAGGGGACATCTGTGATACTTTTGACTAAAGATAAATTTAAAAAAGAACCCATCCTGGCTCACGTTCATCTTTTCCCAGCGCCCCCAGTGGAAAACATGGCTGAGTAAATAGTAGACATAATCACGGCCCTTATTAAGGCAGCTAATAACAAATACAAGTATGTATTTGGGGGAGAAGCCAATCCCACTGATCCGCAGGGCCATGGGGCTCATTAGGGGAGGGGGCGTGTGGAGGGTCATCTCTGAGGGCCTGGCCGCAGGCTTGTGGTGGGTGTGCTCAGAGAGCTCAGAGCCAGGGGCCGGGCAGGGGCTCCCGAGCCCTGGGCACTGTCTCCTGGGCCTGGGGCCCTCTCAGGCCGAGTGGGGATGGGCGGGGCTGGCCGCACTGTGCCCACGTGAAGGCTAAGGAACTGCAGTTCTGGCTAAGCAGCTTGCCCAAATCCTCTGGCTGAAGGCAGGAACTTAGACCCATTTTCTGACTTCAGGTCCTGGGCTGGGTCAGACTC